GTGTGTGTGTGTGTGTGTGTGTGTGTGTGTGTGTGTGTGTGTGTGTGTGTGTGTGTGTGTTTGTGTGTTTTGCTTGTTTGGCAGTTTGTTTGCTTACTTATTTGTGTAGCTCGTTCGGTGGGTGGGGAAAGGAAGCCTATAGGAAGCCAGTAGAATGACAAAGGTAAAACATTTCGTGGACAACAGCAAGTATGTGGATGTCCTTGAACTTTGCGCTTGGACCTTCACTCGGTGTCAACAGATAATTTAATAGTGCCTGGTAGACCCAGCACTGCTCCATGTTGCTGTTCATTGGTGCTGCTCTTTCTGCCCACAAAGCATGCAAAAAAGATTCCAGCGAGGAATGCGCAGAACAAGCATCTCCTTAAATGCGTATTTGCAGCTAGTGGAATGGCTTCTGGTATTCAATGAGTTTCCATGTGCGTTGGCAACATAAACAGTCGAAGTATGCGTTGTTCACCCTATCGGGAGGGGAGCGACTGCTGGTAACCGTTAATGTTCTGCCACGGCAAGGAATGCGCCGTCGGACTCCACATTAACCGTGGACGGTACAAGCTACGAATGTTTGTGCAGTCTTCAGTGCGCGCCAGCGTATAAGGCATTTATAAGGGTAGGGTGACAACTGCGATAAGGCAGCACCTCAGCAGGAGTATAACTTATGAACACGTTTTTCAGCGAGCGTCTCACGGGGACAGATAGTGAGTCCAGTATATCAGCACCTTCCCCCAGTGACATTAGTGACGGGACATTTGATCGACCAGTGCTTGTTCAAGCGGTCTAACTGCCTAAAATGTCACTAAAATACAGTGTACCTACACTACACAATTTAATTGGGGTGTCGGTCATTTCCACACCGTGCTGTGCATGATTTGAATACGGCTAAATGGCAACAGCGAAGTTTAGAGCTCTTCCCGACAATACCAGCAAGTAAGAGGGACCTCTGACATGATATACAACGATCAATCTTGGTATCGATGCCAGCTAGGAAGCCTTTGTGAGTATTGCATCACACGCTTTGCTGTCTCAAACAGTGCACCAGATACAGGTTCCTGTATAATACTCCACTGCAGCTTCATAATTCTAACTTCAGGTGGAGAGAAAATAGATTGGTCTTACAGCGCATGCGTATCGTGCCTCGGGCCGTGTAGGGGTTATTACATCTCTAAGCCAAACAGGGAACCGTTTCCTCCACAACCGCACTTTGCACTTTGGTCTGCTCGTTTTACGTGAGGTGTGTAGGGGACAACGATGTCGGAAGAAGTTGATAATTTCACACGTTTGTGCGCTAACTGCGAGATATAATCCGTGTCGTTCCGACTTTCTAAACAGTACGGGAACTTTTGTCCTACACCATGCACGAATTCACTTTGTTAGGCGGACTACGGACGTCTTGACGCATGCACACATTCCAAATTCATATTTAGTTAAAACCACATTGCGGCAATGAAGGCGCAAAGAGTTGAACACGATCAGGTTGTGAGCCTCACATCACACAGTTTATCTTTAGAATCGGTGATTTCAATACCATGCGTGAATTTAATACAATGCCATGCGTGA